ATATAGTTTTCTTAAACTGGATACATCACTTGATCGGCGTACGTACTGGCTCTAAAGCTAGGAGAACGTTCATATGCGCGCTAACTAATATTTCTTTTTTCCCAAATCTGTCAGTTAAGATTTCGATGGCCTTTATATAGTTTTCTCCTATTAATGGCAATCCGCTTATAGCTTTTGCAGCTGAACCGGTGAGTAAAGATCTTAAATAGTTAAAACTTCTCAACATCTTGAAGCGTATTGTCTTCGTGAATGGCAGCTTTATACTGAGACCAAAATTCAATAAATTTACATAAATCGCCGCTGAAAGTTTCTAAGGTAATGCGAGGCAATTTAGTATTATAATTAGTTTTGATTTCCGAAACTTGTGAAGTTGTTCCGGTTTTACCCACATTTTGAATACATCTATTGACTTTAGATTTACATCTAATGATGGATTCGCTGTATTCTAAACAATGTTCTACTTCTGTCTCTAATTCCTGAACAGTGCTTTGAGCATTAATAACTTCATCATATTTTAACAAGCTAGTTTCTCTCTCGATTAACACTGAAAGTGATTCATGCAACACTTCTAGGTTCGGATTCTCGCTTTGCAATTCCTCATCTAATTTCCTTATTAATTTTGTTACACTCGTACGAACCGAACCTCTAATTTTTCTATTTCTCTCGACGGTTTCTTCAAAACTCATTATCAAAGATAAATTGCATGCAGATAAATGAAATGACTCACCTTCTGGCCTGATGCTACCAAAAACTTGATGTATGTAATAACTTACATCTTCTTTATCGGTGGTTCTTGTGTTCTATTGGCCAAACAAAGACACTTTCCTTTAACTAAATCTATTTAATGAAGAGAAGACTATGTACAAATATTATATACAGATTACAGAGTATCTAGTTTATGTCACTCTCAACCACTCTCATCAACCTCTCAACCCTCTCTGCCGAAACTCTTAATTAGCTAAACATACGGGCGGCGCAGCGCCCTCTATCTCTTTTTCCTACAACTTGTAATACTTCTTCGTTACAACAGAATGCGGAGCAATACAAGTATGTGAATGTGGTTACTTTTGATCTGTTTTCTAGTTTATGATCACTGCATTACTTGCAATGTAATGGGACATGAGGATCCAGAGTATAAATCACTGCTGCTTTTTTGTTGTCCAAGTAATACGCTTTCCACCTTCCTACCTAGGCACCACCTAGGCAAAATCCTGCTAGTAACTTATTTATGGGAGTTGTGCTATAAATCTGTTATTATCTGTTATATATTGTAACGTTTGATATTTCGTTATTTTGTCCGCAAATTTGCTTGTAGGATGTTCAGTTGCTTTACATTTGTAAACCTAGCTGTGTTTATTTGCCGTACTTTATCAGACCATTGACAAAGGACTCGTAAATAGGGCATGGGGTTTTGTTCGTACCATGACTCTAGGCAACAGAAGATGTTGTTTCGTTATGTCTGGTGCAGATGATGCACTTCTTGTTACGCGAACTACATTCTTTTATATAAGTGGCTCTCTCCTATTGCTTAAGTTAAGCAATAGGAATGTTCTGAACACGGAATTCTATGATATTTAAATCCTTGGCATTTTATAATGTTTTGTTAAGTGATATATCGTCTTTAGAAACAGGATTTGAAACTGCTACTAGCTTTAAAGTTTCTCTGATACTGTGGTTTGGTCTGGTGTTAAGTCCTCTATTAAGTCGTTAGTAATATCACTATAACGCAACTGCGCTGTAACTGAGACTTGTATTTTACAACTTTCAGCAACATCGAAAAACCTTATCTTCTTCAACCGCTGATGACATCTCGTTGAAAGCTGTCGTTTTCAGCCTTTTTAGTTTTAAAACGTGATGACTCAGTTTGAGTTGAAATCGTATTAGATTTCTAAAACATGCGTTTTTCTCTTGATGCCCGCTGATTTGTTGCAGCTAATCTATAGCTTCTTAAATTTCGTAGCTCCCACATTATTGATTTGTAACCCTAATTTATTGGAACTGAGTGTTGAATTTAAATGAATGTGTTAAAGTGAATTGAGAGCCGAATTAAGTTTACTTTCTGCAACTTCTGTAGAGTCATTAGCTTACTTTTATGCAGGAGTAATGAAAAGTGAGAAATGTCTTCGCTGGGACTCGAACCATGGACCTCTCGAATACGTGTAGAACGTGTTCACCATTACACCACGAAAGCATGGCTAAGAAGCGGGATACCTTATACAAACCGTCTTTTAAAGCGCGACTGGGGATAAGGGGACCCAATCGCCAAATCCTGGTGGTGAAGAATCACCATCCACTACCTTTTTTAGTTCGGGCGCCACTTTAGATTTTTTAGGTATTTTTGAAGCAGGAGAAGAGACAAATGTGCAATGCCTCGCCGGGACTCGCATCACGGACCTCTGGAATACACGCAGAGTGTTCTGACCGCTACATCACGAAGTTAATAAGGCAGGAGAAACTTATACTTCTGTTTTGGATCTCTAGACCCAATCAGGACTTAGTCTTGTGTCATCGCCTTCCTTTCTTATGGAGCTTTTATACACACTTCTGCGATAACGTTCATGGCTCGAGTTGCGCTTTATGCGAACGTTATGATAAGGAGACGTAGTGATTCTATGGAATTTGCTGTAATTTAGCCCTTGGATCTGACGCCGTTTGAAACTATCTGTCTACTATCTTTTGCAGCTATACTATACTACTTCTTTCCAACAATTTCAATTCCTGCTGCGGTACTAGTTACTAAATGCCTTAAACCAGCGGTTCTCAACCTTTTGACTAACGCGTACCATCTAAACACAAATTGAAAACCCTTAGTATTACCACTACCACTCTTGAACAAAGCTCAGTATAGTACCACCACCACTCTTGAACAAAGCTCAGATCGCATAAATTTACGAGTGTTGGAGAAAAAAACTCAATCAGGATGTTCGAACTTTAATTTTTGAATTTAATACTTTAAAATACTTTGCTTCTTTGCGTACCACCTATTTCTCTCTTGCGTACCACCGGTTGAGAACCCCTGCCGTAAACGAAACATTCTAGTGCAGATTCCGTAAAGTTGTTTCCACCAGATTTTTTTTTTTTTTTTGAAAAAAACGTGCAGGAATACTAAATAATTGAAAGATTTGCTGGAATCTTGAGTTTGTGGGTATGTTTCTTACGGAAGTAGCTATTCTAGAAACAAAACCATTAACCGCTTATATGACAGGGGAGTATTTCTTTCAGGTCATCAGAACCCGTGATGGGATCAATGGAAACACATTAATCAGTAGATGAAAGATGGAACTGCATTTCGAGGCTAACAGTAATTTTGAGAATGAACTTTTGTTTAGTTACTTCCAAAATTTGAAGAAATGAAAAGCTCTAGTTAATTTAGTTGGACAATCTCTTCCTAAATTAGTAGCACACTTGGAATCTCCTTATTTTAAAACATTCATCAATTCAGTCGCCTACTGCAAAGTATTTATTACGAAGATTAATACTATTCTGCCAACTCTGCTATACAAACTAAGAGGAACATCATTGTCACTCGTGTGGTATTAATTACTTATGCACGAAACTTATATTTTATGTAGTATTGAATTTCTAGTACTGCATCTCTCATTTTATGAGGAATAACACAACGTGTTTTTACTGTGCAGATAAAACTTGTAAGTTTAATTATATTTCTAAAAGTTTAAAATACTCTTATTACTTTGACATATATCTCAAGAAAACTAGGACTGTTCGAACACAATGCTTTTGCATATAGAAAATTAAGCTGCTGAAATTGAAAGAATAGTAATAAGTCGAAATAATGCTTACACGTATCACATTCCAGCTGAAAAGAGTTTGTTGTGCATTTGCTAATTATGAACTTGCCCAAAGATAATTAAATGAAAATGAGGGAACATAGAATAGTGTGATAATTCTTAAAAGATATAGATAATCAAAATAATAAAATATCGGTAACCAAACATAATAACAATTTATTTAATTATATTGTAGGGGCATAAGGTTATTTTGAAGCATGATACTTGAAAAATGAGCAATGTCTTAGCTGAGAGTCGAATCTGGACCTCTCGAATATGCGGCGAGTGTGCTACCGTTACATGACAAAGACATGCAGAAAGGAGGCAGAAAATATCTTCTAATATAATAACAATTTACTTCGAAAATAGTTAATGGTGAACGACGCAGCCATAAGAACTAAATATGAGAACGCGAATTTACAAATGGTAGTCAATTTTGTATCTTTAAATAAGTCCTGTTTATTTATAAGATAGGATTTCCGAAACATATCTAAAATCCCAAATCATTAGGCTTATATCTAGAAATACTCAAAAAGTCCCAAAAAATTAGCTTAACATATATAAACATTTTTTATGTCCCTGGAGACTATTTAATTAAAACAAATTCTATTATGATCCCGAAAATCTCTATTTATGCGGTTTCCTATTATCAACATATTAAAAATGCAAATGGTTATCACTTAATCATTAAACATTAGATAATCTACAGGTGACGGATCGTGTTTCCAAAAGAAAATACTACTAGTCGACGTAAAAATACGCCGCACACGAACATTATACGAAGCACCACGAATTTCAGAACTTCTTTTTAACACTATTATTCTCTATATTTATACCATCTGAGTGACTATGAAATTAGAACTGTTCCTTGTCCTTCAACAAGGTATTTTATGCCCTCTGGGGTACACTGTACTTTGCAGTGTCAGATACGTATTGGTCATACGTATTTTATACGTATAGTCACATATAGGGATACGTATAGTATATACGTATAGGTATAGTGATACGTATAATATATACGTATGCGTATAGTCACAGATGTGTATTGGAATCCCTCGAATGCTGGGTGCAACATTTGCTTCAAAAAGGGTAATAGACAGACAATCTTATTAACATAATTCGACCTTATATTTCCACATATCATTCTTGTCTTTTCTTATTGTAAAATTCTAAAACATAAATTTATAAATAAATTTTTAATTTGATACTTACGGATGGTATTTTTCTTGTAATCATAGCTGGAACTGAGTCCCAAAGGGCTGTGCAGCACATCAATTTCACTGTGAAAAAATATGATGCCGGAATTATTCATATTCAACAGGAACATATCTATTCATATTCATATTCATAATATATTCATGTTCAACACGATGTTGAAGATTAAAATTTAGCAGTATAACAAACTTAAACATCGAATAATTTGCATGGAATCTTTTCTATATTATGCATTTATACCTGACTGAGTAATCTGAATACAATTTTCTCTGTGGATGTTGTGTAATGTTTTATTAGATGATGATATTTATTATTTATGCCCAAACAGACATAACTATCATGTCTGTCGGATACATTGTCGATGTAAAGGTTGCTCGATTTCAGTAGAGCAAACTTTACATTTTCAGATTTTTAGAAGTAGTTCTCAGGAAGTTCTAAAAGATGATACATTCGATTTTACGAGTAAATTTCGTTTCGCAAGCTTTTAGCCAATTTTCATTGCTGCACTACATTTTGCCGAAGATGACGTCATATTTCGAGTTTTTAAAGATACCGATTTTTCTTTTTTTTATTTTTTTAGACCAGACTTATGTTAAGGGGTTTCGTTAGTAAAATTGTCTATCTATCATTCTGACAAACAGTTAAATAAATTGATTCAATTCATCCATTTACATGAATAACTCTCATTATCAAGTCTCAATTATTGCTATTTTCACTCTGCTTAGTTTAATCTACTATATTTTAAGTAAACATAATATTTTCGTTGATATGGTTATCAGCATGATGCTTAAAATTTAATTGAATTTTAAACTGTGATTTAATTTAAGGTGCATGTTATAGACTACCACAAAGAGGATCAGATATATAACATATTTTTTGTGTGGAAAATACCAAAGATTTTAAAAGAATTAAAAAAAGACTAATTCGATTTATGTTAAAATGGATAAAACATTATTGCCACTATCTACTTCCTCATATTATTTTTACAATATGAAAAGAATGGACTCAAACATAAGCCAAATACATTTTTTCTTGCTACTGATGCGTAAACATTGAGTCGAATCGTTAACTTCAGGCGTATTTTATCTTAAATGAATGCTGACCTAACGATTATGTGAGTTACTTGAAAGTCTGCGAATTATTGGGCTAACAGAAAAGCGATTTCACGCACAGACTTAAACAAAACATAAATTAAAATCGACAGCTCTTTAACTGTTACTGGTAGTTTACAACTAAAGAGAAAATACCACTTAAAATTTGTCCGTTGTTTGTCACCAGAATATATGCAACAAGTCGGGACACTGCTGCTTTACTTACGTTCAGTTATCAAAGGCTGTAATACTTTTAACAAATTATCTGGCTTTGATCTTTTTTAATCTGCTATACTACTTCTTTTCTAAACTCAAAATGTTCACCGGTGCAATCAATTACCAACTACAAGAAGCTCTTCATGCAACAAGGAATAAGTTTCAGTTAATAATTAGCAGTATTTAAACTTCTTTTTAGTTCCTTGCTTTACATTTGCGTTACATTCTGATATAAGCGAGAATACAAAACATGAATCAAAGGTAAGCCGTGACTATGTTTAACGCAACTCTTAGTAGACCTTAAAATAAATCTCATGAAGTTTATTTCTCAGGACTAATGTTTCATTTCCCAAATACAATAACCGCTACAGAAAATGCAGTACCATGAGGATTTGGATGTATAATAATGCGAATTGCAATAAATATCTATCTGAACTATTTGTGTAAATTATCTGAAATGCAACTTTGTCTCGTGGTAAGTAAGCGAGATAAAGGGGAGAAGGAAACGTCAAATGCGTCGACATTTGTCACTCTCTGTCATCACATGATACCTATTTTTTTAGCTATTTCTCATCTCATTAGGCACGTGTAAAAGAAGAGATGTCTGGCAGATAAACTGTGACTCAGTTTCGGCAATCAAGCGTTTTATCGAGGAGTTTTATTTTAAGTTTATGAACGGCTGGTTGATTCATCTGTCTGATCGCAGATGAAACATATCTACATGCCGCCACGGTACAGAGGATTTTGGAGGAGATGGATTGAAGGAGGAAATGTGAATTGCGTCAGGGCTGCTGGTTTATCTAGACTGACGTCAGCATGGATGCTTAGATCGACGCATCTGAAGGCATGCGATTGAGGACCGACAAAACATGACTGTCGACATTATGCAGAATGTTTAGGGATGCTGCAATGTCAGCAAGAACAATTTCTAGAGGACTGATTAAAAGGTAAAGTAAAGTCGTTCCGACCTTTACGAAGACTGCCACTGTCGTAGAGTCACCGGAGCCAACGACTGAGATGTTGCCAGGAGAGAACCTCTTGAAGGCTTAAACGGCACAGCGACGAGTCTCACTTCTGTTTCATCAATGACAGTCATCCATTAAGAATCTAGAGGCGCTGGAGAACCATGAACATAGGTTTATGGTCACTACTGGTTGCCTATGTTCCTATGTTCATGGTCCTACTGGTTGTCATGTTCCAGCTACCTACGTTCATGGTCACTACTGGTTGTATCAGAGGCAGACGGCACAGCAATATGTAGGCGACTGGCTGCAACCGGTTGCATTACCCTATCATCAACCATTGCAAAATGCTACTTTCCAGCAAGATAACACCCGAGTGCACACGGCAATTATCAGCAGGCAAATTCTCTAAGGTTATTAGATGCTGCCTGGACCACCGAAGTTTTGAGATCTCCCACCAATCCAGCATTTGTAAAATATGATTTGCTAAAATGCCGCAGCCTCTATCGGAGAACGAATTGTGGAGGGTGTTGAAAGCACATGGTGATACATTCCTCAAGGCTCTAGGCTATCCGCATGCTGATTTCCTCTCTGTATTAAAAGGTTACGAATTGTGTCTACATAAAAGGTGATCCTACTTTCTTCTGATCATCTTGCACATTTGACCGTTGTATTGTACTGCCTTTTTGAAATTAAAATTACTTATTTATGTATGTATTCTCTGTCCGTCTGTTAGGTTTCATGCCCTACAACTCACTCTTTCATGATGCGCATTTTCTGTCAGGCGGTGTATGTTATTGCATCACAAGAGAGTTTGTTATAGTCAACTGTTGTGTAAGGAATCAAGTTTAAAATCAGCTCAATCTTCTTACCTGATTGGATTTTCAGGATTTCCATACCAAAGCCTGGTAAAGAAATGACGTGTCTTGAATTTTTTTAAGTTAATCACATTCAGAAAGTAACTATCATAATTGAATTCCAGCTGTAAGTAATAGAGTTATTAAGCTTCAATAAACAGAAACTTTTAAAGGAGTTAAAACTCTGAAGTAGTGAGAGAAGAACAATTATATTTACTAAATAAAGGTTGGTTATGGTAATAAATCAAAACCATGAAACCAAAGTTTAATCATGCATATTTTAATTATGCAATTATAACCCAGGCTTTCTTATAAACTTAAAATGGCAGAATCCTAGCAAAATTATATAAAAGCATAAGATAAAACAGCTATTGGTTTGGTTTGGTTTATTGAGATTATGGCAAAGCACACTAGGGCTATCTGCCTAAGGGGAGGGATGCCTTCGTGGAGGACTTTCTAAGGGAACTGGCTCGTATACACGTTACACATGGAGAAAACCACGAAAACGACCATTAAAATAGCTATTGAAAGATGTTTTTATGTAATACCTATAACAAAGGAAATGCAACAACGTAAACACTTGCTGATTGATTTAAATCAATTTGCTTTTTTATTTAATTCTACATTAATTTCAAAATCTCAAAATTATTTGAACTTAATAATATTTAGTATATGGATTCATAATTTATTTTTTGTTTTTCCAGAGAGACGTCGTCACATTATCTGGACGTGTTCAATATTCTTTACCTTCTACAAGTTTTTACGTCAGAAAACAAAATTATTTAGTGAATATGAGGATAGCAAATCATGTATCTATGGTGTAAGAAGAGTTCTAAATCCAGTTAATGCTAGAATACTTCAGCAGAAACTTTGCAAAAATGTTGAACATTTACTTTACCCTAGCATGCATCTATATCATCCATGACATTTGTCAAGAATTGCTATTGTACATAATTATTTTACTTTCCACGTGGCTCGGTAAATGCCAGTTTTCAATTGTTTGCTGTTTGGTAGTATATAAAATTTTAAATTTATCTTTCAAATTATAATTGTTTAACTAACTGAAGAATGCTATACGCATACCGTATGCAGAAAGAAAAGTTCGCCGGTTTGATAAATCTTTTGGAAATAAATGAAAATAATGGATTTTATTGAACTCAAATGAAACTAACATAAGACAGGAAAACAATGAGAAATTTGGAATGTCATTTCCGAAACTTTTCCTTCTTTAAAAAAGTTAACGACGGCTAAAACAACAGAATTTTCCTCTACACTTTATTTTGTAACTACTATTTTGTAACATGGTTCACGGAAATACATTTTATAAAAAAAACGGTTTAAGTACTTTTAGTTAATTTAGTTCAAAATTTGCGCTGATAAAAATACGAAATATGAACTTTGTATCAAATGGTTTACACCCAAAATTTACTATCATAAATCACATTAATATATAACTGATGTTAATTTTTGTTGAAATATATCATTGTTTCAATTGTGCGAAATTATATGTTAATTTTCTACTTTACCTCATATAAGTTCTTCAGTAATTTTGTAAGGTATTTCTCCCGCTTTCCAAGCGTGCCTTCGTGGTGTAATGGTTTTGCACTCTGGTCCGGTATTCCACAGGTCCGTGGTTCGATTCCCGGCGAAGGCGTTGCTAATTTTTTCATCTCTCCGGCCTCCAAAAAAATACCCAATGTCGCTACAACTTTATAACATTTTAATATTACATACTGTCTCGTTAAAAACTACTTAGTAACTCAATAACTAATATTTATAAATTTTTAACAAATAAAAATGTCTTCACCTCTTAATCATGTTTTAGACTTGCTCGAATATACATATCACAAAAGCTATTATGCATGTTTGAGCAGGTTCCCTGCTTAAAAAAATCTTAACAATATATCGTGGAGTGTGTGTTTATGGTAAAGCCTATCTGCCTAAAAGGACGGATGCCTTCGTAGAGGACTTTCAAATTGAAACTGGCTCGTATACACGTTACACATGGGGAAAACCACGAAAACACCCATGCAGCCAGCCCGTTCGCGGGATTCGAAACTCGGACCGAACTACCAGTGTTCAGCGACTTTACCGCTCGGCCACTTGAGGGCCAAACTTATCCTGGAAACATTTAAAGTAAGCTATAATTTTTACAAAAATTATATAAATTTTTGAATGGTTTGAATCACTCTGTATAAATCTTAACAAATAGAGCTTTAAATATGATAAAGAAAAATTTTCTTCTTTAACTGTATGTTAGGTAAATAATTTCTTCTCTAGAGTGAAAGTTAACAAACTCCACAGAGGGCTCACGGAACAGAATGGCCATTAGACATGTTATTTTATATAATTTTATAAAACAATTACAGGGCATATTATGATATTTGAAACATGTTTACTAAGGCATCTCTGATCCGTATCCTGTTACGGCTCAGGAAGGATTCTTTAATTATAGAGATAGTAAGTTAGTCCTAGGTTTTCAATAATAATATAGGAAACGTTACATTAGAAGTTTCAGATAATTCTTCGGCGGGTAGTTAAGACCTTTTTTTTAAATAGAGATTTAGAATTAGGCAACAAAATTATTTACATGCGCAAAATACTACTTACATGAAATTCCAAAAAGACAGTCATAAAACGTTCTTCATTTTTATGAAATTACACTTTATTTGAATTGCAGAGCTGTATAGTTTTTAAATAAAAATACCCAGTTCATTATTTTTTAGAAAAGAAAATTTTTGTCTTGTACTTACTTCTTGATAAACAATATTCAGAACACCAGTTTGATTTATAATGCTAACATATCCATCATCTAATTTCATGCTCTGTAACTGAAAAACAAAAAGCAAAATAAGCAAGCTCGTGTGTCATATGCATTTTTTTCGCAGAGGTCTTTTAAAAATTCATATTATCATATCATCATTCATAACATCATAACATCAAATACATATATTATTTTATTTTGGATTTGTTCTAGAAATCATTGTTTGCAGTTTTATGAAAACTATGTAAATTTCTTAGGGAAAAAAATGAGTAATATAATCAGAGATGCAACAGGATAGTATTTTTAAATATCGCTCAGAAAAAGTATAATATAAAAAATTTGGAAAACTTCTGGTAGTTACTTTAATATACTTTAATACACTTTGGAAATTATTCTTCAGTTGTATAAGATCTACTGTGCATTCCTGGGATTAAAAGTGTACTTGTCTATTCTCTGACCGCTGTGCTTAGACAAATTGCTACATCCTGTAGTCGAAGGAAAAAACCTGTCGTATCTAAGTATTTGTATTTTCAAGCACTTTCGGTTTTAGACTGCCATACTTAAGTGTGCTCCATTTTCAACCATTGGTAACTAGAGCAAAATTCAGTGATCGATGAGCCATTGCTGCTGTGGCCAATAACTTCGGACATTAATGCATTCTTATATGTTCACAAATAAGAGTTGTAAACAAATGGCGGTGTTACATACTTTCGTTGCCTGACTATCTTTGCGCATTTTGGGACAGTATCTTGTTAATAGCTCTCAGGAATACGAGGAATATCTCTGATGTGGTATGACACCACAAATACACAGTTTTAAATACAGGTCAAACTGTGTTTTGCCACAAATACACTGCAAAACACAGTTTGACCTGCTTGCATCGACATGATCTTTATCTTCTGTACCGTTAGTTTCATCATTACTCTATTTGATCGAGTAATCTCAAGCTTTCTCGCTTGCTGCTTATCGCTTTCGCTCGCACAGTATGTAATTTACTCATTTCTGAGGTTGTATAGACTATTAGGAGATTTTCAGCACCTTATCTGAGTTCGAAGCACTGATCTTTTAGAAAGTCGTGCTACCCATTTATACTACTATGCACGGAGAAATGAGATAATTCTTTGCAAGGGAACCATCAGATTTTTGCATAGAATTAATAGTTTATGAAATCCATTTTTACCTTAAAGCTTAGTTTCCAATTCAATTTTATAGAAGTGTAGGTACTGATGCTGCAACAGCGGGATATATTGTTGTGTGTCACCGATTTTGAAAAAGCAGCCTGATTAACCTTCCAGCACGAACGTATGCGCAAAATTTACGACAAATTCAGTTTTTAATACGCATTTTTCGCATATCGAAGCTGAGACGTCTGAAAGTCATTTCTATTCCACCTTTCTACCCTTCCCCACATCATAGAATGTGCCAACAGGAAGTCATTTGACTTTTTTTTAACTAGGCTTTTGTGCTATGTAGCAGCTTTATCATAAAAGTTACGACATGCGCGTGGTCGTGTTTCAAAATTAGGAAAATATTTTTTTTCAAATATTTTGTAATTTTGTGTTATTAATTGCCGTGTATTATTTTAATTTGAATACATTTGTCTCTGTAAATGTTATATTAATTTTCATGGGAAAAAAAATATATATATGTGTGTGCAACTAGCTGATTTTGCTGGGATTCTTCAAGAGTTATCCCACGAAGAAAAGGAAGACAACGAAACCTTTGGATGGGAGAACAATAGCGATTTCCATTCCATATTTTCTTTCCATTCCTTATTTTCTTTTATTTCTATTTTTTAGAAATAAATAAAAACATTAAAGTGCGTTTTTGTAATCAGTAAGAAGTAAATTTCCTTGCAGAAGTAAGTAATGTTAAACTTACTTTCTTTCTTACCAAGGTGTTTTCCTTTTTTATTGTCTATATATTATAGATTTTTCTTATTTGTCTAGACAAATTGCTACATCCTGTAGTCTAAGGAAAAAACCTGTCGTATCTTAAGTATTTGTATTTTCAAGCACTTTCGTTTTCGTTCAATATTATATTATAGATTTTTCTTATTTGTCTATATATTATATTATAGATTATCTATATATAGATTATTATTTTATTGTCTATATTATAGAATATTAAAATTAGCTTCGATTTTAAAACATAATTATTAAATAATAAATTTAAAATTTTCTATATTAAAATACATCATTGCATTTCCATCTCACTAACATAAGAACTTAAAAATAATTTACTTATATTTGAATGTGATATCATTTGTATTTTTCAATAATAAGAATTATATTTTATTTCTTTACAAATTTATCATCAATATTCACTCATTTCTGTCGTTTTTCGTGCCAAAAACGGTAAAATAACGAATGCCGTAAAAAATACGACGCGCGAGTGCTCATGTTAAATTGCCAAGCGCGCGTGCTGGAAGGTTAACAGTCACACCTGAACTGTTGTTAAATCTTTTACTGTCTCTAATATTTAACGGTTTTATTTACTTACTTTAACTTTTCTTTGCATCACTTTAATCTTTTTAAAGTAAGTGTAAATATAAAAGTACTGTTTCTAAGATTATTATTAACAGCAGTCATTAATTCTTTGTATAGGCTGATAGATAAAAGTATGGAGAACACCTGATGCTTACAAACCGTTCATAGGTATCGTCTCTCCATACTATTTCGCTAAACCAAAACACTAATTAATGGTTTACATTCTGTTGAAGTACGTACTACTGCATTCTTCTTATTTATTATGTTTATATTATTTCGAATCTAAAACTAAAAATGAGACATTGCAAATTCTAATTTGATAATGAGTGCTCTACAATTGATGTGCCCTTATTTTGCAATTTTTTCCAAATCGAAGCAACATTTGCAATTATTATTGCCTTTATTCTTTATTTTACAGAGTTTCTATTATGATACTAAGTATTATATTGAATAAGCTGTGTGGTATACGTCATAGTTTTGAAAAGTGAAGAGCTGTTTGGGTGATGTCTATGGTTGATGTAGTTCAGTAACGTAGGATTGGAGAAGAGTCATTATTTTAATTATTTCATTTGCTTCGTGTAAATGGAGAGCAAAATGATTAAAATAATGACTCTTCTCCAATCCTCTCTTGAAAGTTATTGAGTCTGTCGTTTCTACCGTTAATGAATATTTGAGAAAATAATAATCAGTTTTCTTTTTCCCAGCATAATGCAGTTACTCCTTTTCTAAAAATACGGCAAAATCGTGCCAAAACAAGTGCGTTACAAGTTTTCAATGTTTAAAGTCAAAATCCATTCTTCGAAATTAATACAGCATATGCGGTGATTTAATAAGTGCAATGTAATGTAATTCAACAGCAACATGAAAATGTGGAAAAAAAAATTGAATCGTAGATTTACTGTGAGTGCTTTGAAATCTAGTGCCAGCCTTTCAAAATTAATCCAGCGTTTGTTTATAGTAAAATGACGAATGTTTTCCGAGTGCTAACGTTTAAAATCATTCCAGTGCTTTCAAGGTCATCGAACTGCATATCTTGATCCGGCTTTTATGCGAATTAATTAGGTTCTTCTATAGGATTAAATTTATACTTGAAGTAGGTGCTAGAAAATTATTTTCACCTCTGCTTTTGGGTAATTGAATCTACATTGTGATCTGATATTTTTTCTTAATAAATTGGACATTAAAAATGTAGGACTGTGATATGAAGAAATATAGTTTAATGATATTAAAAATTTGAATTCTAATAATTTAGTAAATTAAGTAAAGAATTCTTTAATTATTTAATATCTTTAATTATTTTTTATTATTTTAGGGAAGGTTATTAAAATAAATATTTATATTTCTGAAATTTTTTGAAAATTTTGAATACGAATTTTTTAATTATTCTAATAATGAAGTAAGTATAAAAAATAAGTGAAATTAGTACAGCTACGTAGTATGAAATTATGGTAAATGCATGCTAAAATTTATGGGTGACTGTATGTTAAGTTATAGAGTATGTTGAGGGAGTACTGGTTCCTTAAACAGAGGCCTGTTATTACCTCTGTACTGTTCCTTTAACCCTCTTCATATAAGATAATGTTGGAGGGTCTCACTTTATGTGTGTAATTTTTTCATATATTATTATTATACATTTCTTTTATTATGGAATGTATTAGAGCAGTTCTCAAAGGCCAATTACCTTATAAACAAGGAACGGATGTCTTTATATGTAACTTGCCTAACAGATGGATATGCTTGTTATTGCATGCAAATGACTTAAATTATTACCTTATTTAAAAATAATTGGCTTGTGAATCTATCCATCCAGTTTACTGTACTGAAGGCGAAAAGAAAATCATTCTTCACCTCCACAAATTCTTCTTTTACCTGAAATTGCTCGAATGAGATTCAGGGTTACAAAACTAATGATGAGAAAAATATAAAGTATGACAAAAAAATTATATGAACTTTGGTAATATCTTCAGCTTTGATGAAGCCTTCATCCATAAGAGCTTTAGTGATCGCTAAGCCAAGTTCGTTTCGTATGACATCCGTACATTCTTGCCACTTAGACGGGTAGGCATAATCGAATCGAGGAAGTTTACTCAAGAAATGCAGATGGATTTTTCTAAAATTTGAACCTAAGTACTGCATTATCTTTACAAGCATCCTCCATACAACGTACCTGGTGGACTTCCTGTAAAACATTAGTATAAGGAACATCGCTGACTTTGCTTGAAAGAAGCAAAAGTTTTTATTGATACAAAGGAAACGTCAGGAAAGTAATAATATTTTGATAAATGATAGTAGCAATAATAATAATAAAGAGAAAAATAAGGATAAAAATGAATGGAAAAGAAGCTACTTGAGCAAAACCGTTTTTTATTTTGAAAGTATATATTTTGGACTATGATTCCATACAGACATTCATGGCTTTGAGGGATTTATCATTTGGAGAGACAGGAGGTAGCTTTTGTATCTTCCGCCATAGTCTTTTGCCATTTAGAAATACAGTTACCGTTTGCTGGAACTCTTCACTATTCTCTAGGACAACTCCTAGTCGAATGTCACCGCATCCATGTAATTTCTGCTGCAGAAATTTTGGTGCGTAACTTGGAAGCAACCAGCCTATGTTCCGACTTTGCCCCGCAGGGAATATAATCGGTTCACAAACTTCAAGAAATTTGGGGGATGGTTCCAATTTAAAAACATTTTGTTATACTCTTCATGCTTTTTCTTTCTTTCTAACCTCTTTAAATTACCAAACGGGTACTATATTCTGAAAGCGCTACATAATCAAAATAAATCTCTATGACAACCTATTCCAAATATTTATTTAAGTCTTTAAAATCTTTTAAGGACAGCTGTATGTAATAAGAACATTTAGTGTCAATGAAACTTACAGACACGACATTTTAAAGCAAAGAAGAAGGTATGAAGAACAAGCTCCCATTACATTTTTGAATAATTTTAATTTGAATAATTTAGTCTCCTTCGCTAACATAAACTACGTCCAAACTCCTAACAGACTTGGAGCGAATTATCGCTTCGTCTGAAAAGAACATCTAATACTTAAGAAAGTTTTCAAACAAACCTCTTTATTAAGTTAGAACTAAAATATAAATGCACTCGTGCTTGCAATTCATCCAACCAACCGCTTGTGGCGATGTAACTTAAAGTAATTCAAATTTAAAAATTAGCAGATAAAGGCTGTACAAATTAATTAACGCGAAGTTGTTGACTCAGCCTTCTAAATGGCGTAACAATTTATATGTCGGCAACTAGACTCATGTTTGTGAAAAATGCAATACTGTGAAGTAATTATGCAAATTGAACCAAACTTACAGGAAAGCAAGTCATGCAAATGATTAGAATTACAAAGCGAATGCGCATGCATGGAATGAGAACCGGCCGCTTGTTCCATGTATGTAAAGTATTGTAAATAAATAAGCTGTTTATCGTCCTCTGTTTGCGGTGAACGTTTACTTAGTGGTCAATATGCCTCGTCAACCGCGGGGGGGGGGAATGCTATACCAACAACTAACGGAGTTCGAGGGAGGCCGCATCATAGGTCTGCGAGAGGGAGGACTTTCGTATATAGCAATCGTTGACCTCACCCTGTGTAATGCCATAAGAGTGATGAGTATTTAGAAGAAATGGACAGAGGAGAGTCAAATAAGGGGAAACCCTGGCAGTGGGGGCACGCAATAGCACGACAGACATCTCACCCGCATGGCTGTGGGAGATCGTACAGCGTCCTCTCGTGTGTTATCACAATATTGGAAAACGGCTACATGTGTTGTCTAGCTCCACGGTTCGTCGCTGTCTGCTGCAGCATGAACTGTGTGCAAGGGTTTCTCTACACAGGATTCCCCTGCCGCTGCATCACAGATGCCCCCGACTTCAATGGACATGGCAACAGCGAGTGGAGCGCCCTGTGGCAACAAGTTGCTTTCTCCGATGAATCTCGCTACAATCTGTAATACACTGATTGGAAAGTACATGTCAGACGCTACAGAGGGTAACGTCTGCTCCCACAATGCGTTATCCAGCGCACAAACGCCCGGCATCACGGTGTGGGGCGTTATTGGGTACAATTGTCGGTCCTATCTAGTTCAGATTGCGTGCAACCTCAACAGTGATCGCTACATAAGGGAAGTTATGGAACCAAAGGTCCTCCCTCTTCTTCAACGCACTCCGACCGCTGTATTTAAACAGGATAATGCCTGTTCACATGTTTCTGAGACTGCAAAAGCCTTCTTTAGGGCACAACAGATTTCGCTTCTTCCACGACCTGCTTTTCCGATGATATGAGGCCTGTTGAACACGTCTGGGATTTCATGGGTCGGCTACCAGTTCTTACAGCTGGTGGGGGACACGCTAAGACTGAACTTTGGCGTCAAGTCCAAGCCATAAGAAATGCCATTCCCCAGGATTACATTCAGAACCTTATGATTCAATGCCAAGACGCATACAGGCTCTCATCTCTCAGCGTGGTGCACGCACTAAGTACTGATTTCCGACTTTCATTTTGTTTTATAAATTTAATTGTTTATTTACACCAACATCAGTAATATGTGGAATCAGCTTCCTTCATTTCCGACAATTCCTTCGTGGTGTTGCATTTTTCACAAACATTAGTGTATAATGCAAAGCCAAATAATATAATCGTAGCTGAACTCTCTAAATCTAACAATGTGGCTTCGAGAGTCAGAAACACGCACTCTGTCTTACTATCTCACAACCTCAGCTTAAACACTCATTATAATTCCCATTCTGGCGAGGAAACGGAAGAGAAAAGTGACAGTAGCGATCCAAATCTTAAAATAACTGGCTAATGAAATAATAGTATTAAATTTAAAATTTTTAAATTAACTAATTTAGTTAAAAAGGTATGTTTTTAAATTTAGTATTTGCATATTTTTTCATAAAAATTTAGTTTGCTGTATTAAAACAGTAGTAGTTAAACTATGCATTTTTATGCAATTTGTGCGTCTTAAGTATTTGAGTTTATTTTAAACAGGTAAGCAATCTCAAAAATTTTTTCAAATCAGAAATCAGAGCAAAAATAATTTTACTTAAATTATATTTCGGTATACTAATAGGAATTATATGAGTAACAGTTGAATGTTCCTGACAAAAATAAGTGCAATTTTTATTTACACATTGAACAGTTTCATTAATAAAGATATATCTTATGAAACAATATAACTAAAAATTGACGAATTGTCTTACATGGTATCACTAAGAAGTTAAAAATAGTTTTGTATATAATTTCATCTTTTTGCTAAAAATTTATGTTTTGTCGAATGGCAAATATAGCTGTTGTTATTTATAATAAATAAAATGATAAGAAAGAAGTATTGGTACTTAAATATTAGCCGGCATTATTCAGTACACCACCAGTAATATCAAACATGACTGTGCTTTCCTACGAGCACTGTAGCAACTCGAGAAGCTGATATGGATTCTTCTGTAAAGAAGCGGTTTTTTATTTCTTTGTTAATTTCTTTTTTTTTTTTTTTCGGGGGTAAAAATTTGGAGGGAGAATGGCTGCTTTTCTTAGTTCATTCTCCATTTCAGACCAATTACAGCAAGCGGATATTTACATTGAGTCATTTTAAAATTTTTTTTCCAGCTCTTTTCTAGGATAAATTTTTTGGGCAACAGTTTTTCCTCTTGTGTTAATTACATTGTATTTTGTGTCATGAATTTACTAGATTTGTTTACAAATTAGGTAGAAACAATCGATTATTTCCAGGCAAGCGATATTTTGCCAAAACATCGCGTGTGTTCTAGTTCTTTGTAAATGCGGGAAGATGTACGGAACTATAATGTTAACAACAAATGTGGAAAATTCTTTTAGTATAATAACTAAGAATTTGTTCGAAGAAGATCACCTGCCTTTTAATTTAACCGAATTTATATGGAAGCTGAAACAAATCGTGAAGAATAACAACCATTTTGAATGCGTTTACCGGGCAATACTCGGTGTAAATCAAAATCTTGCAAGATCTCTCGATGTCAAAATGCATCCCAGTCAGCACGCCTCCAAAACTATACGTATAATTTTGGTTAAATAAGGGTATGGTATTTTTTGCACGTTATTTTTACGAAAATTATACGAATAGGAAAAGCTAAAGATATTGTCGATTCTAATATCATCGAAAAAAAGTGCTAATGGATTGCTGTGGTATATTGGCGGGTACCGTCTGATATCCAAGTACCGCAGTATAAATAATTTGTAAAGCATAATGTCCGCGAAAAGTTTGAGCATGTGGTAAAATGAATCAGTAAATGGATGGTTTCATGGCTCGGTACGGAAGTATGCAACCTTCACTAAAAAAAAAGACCTGTTTCTTTTCTAATCCACGGAATCTTAAAAAGTACATATAATTAGAGCTACAAAATTTGGTCTGCGATAATTCAGACAAGCGCTAAAAACAACTTGATGTTGTTTTTAGCGCTTGTCTGCGTTTGTTGCGGTTTTACAGCTGAGGATGGTGGTTCGGTAAAACCATCGAAACTAGTCCTGAGAAAATTTTTAAAATATAACGCTAATTTTTTTTGTTTGACTTCTGAATTAGAACTTGATGTTGGTTCTGATGGTCCAGTAGAAGAATATGCACTTTAGTTAAAATAGGTTTTAGTCGACTTCAAGTGGATCTTCAGCATTATATATAGTTAGAGCTACGTAGTAGCTTTCCATTTCAATAACATTAAAAATACTTTCTAACTGTCTACCTGAAATTAAAATGTTGCTTTTACATTAATTTTTCATATATCCTTTAGGAATGATTTGAGCATCTTAAATATTTACAAACAAAAAAAATCTAAAAAATTTAATTAAAAAACTCTGAAGCATTCGAGTGGAGGACTACGTTATTCAGAATTTGATGTCTCTAGGTGCCGTCGCTTCTTTCCAGCGCGAGAAATATACATACATTCATGCAGATTCTTCATTATTTAATTTCTTTAAATATAATGTAGGGCTCTAATATTTGGTGGCAACAATTTAGAAAGTGACTCACACTTTTATAATGAACCAACGCAAAATGCCAAAACGAAATTAATATCCCTTCTGAGAAATTTGGCCTTTTTGGCCTAATAATTTTTAAATAGTATTTTTAATAAGCATAATCACTTATATCAAAATTAATTCAAGACTAATAACAAGTGTCTATTTTTGAAGACTAATTTGTAGTTTAAGACTTCAGGTTTGAAAACATTAGCGTCTTTAATCAAACATACAAGAATTAACTTTGAAACTGCAAATCATGTTAACTTTCCATTAGATTAAATAGCAATACTTACACTCTAGGAGCATTTTCTAAGACCGAGGTAATACTTTCTAAGTCGTATTTGCAAGACGAGACAATATCCAAATCAAGCACGCCTTCTCCGATCATAGGTCTCCATATTTCCCTTATCAGTTGTTTCTAAAAGTAAAATCAAAAATGAATATACACTAAACATACTGCCCAAGAGTGAGTTATAAAGCAACAATAAATATAATATATAATAGAATGGCGGTTTCCACTCAGAAAGAAACAGGTTGATCACCTGCATGTTTTTGCGAATTTTGTTTTCCGTATTGGAATGTGAAATTATTTTCCACTAGACGTTCCTAAACTAGAATATTTCTCTCATGCCTTAACAAAATAAAATTTTTTTAGCTGTCATAAAATAGAAATGGATCTGAAACTGAACATTCTATAGCTATAATATAGTCATTACATCAACAAACTCATTTAGTTTTCCTTACAATGAAAACATATCATTAAAATATACTTTATATTCTTCGGAAAATAGCTAAATCACTATTTAAACAGTATAACTCTAAAAATCTTCAAGAAAGGCAAGAAATATTTAAGGTACTGACTACGTTCGACCTCCAAATTTTGAAAAATAGTATATATAATGCTATTGTTAGTGTTATTTAACAGAATGGTACTTAAAATAATATAAACATGTAATAAACATATTATCAAAATATAATCTTTGGTTTTTTTCTTACATATTATGTTAAAAATGTGTTACATTTCCGGATTACTAGATATGTTCCTGCAAAAATATTTATCAATATTTTACTTTTATTTTTGTCTCTTATATTTATTAAGGTATAAGTAATTAAATAGAGTAAAATCTAATGGCAGTTAAATATTCTTGTCTGAGTACATGCACTAGGTACTTTTTGAGAAAATTCTCCCTTTTCCTTAGCAAAAACGTCATAAAAAGAATTTTAAATATGCACATAAACCTAAATTTTTAGTCCTAAATTTTAGTTACTAAATTAGTAACTAAAGTTTTAGTCCATTTGATTCACAATATTTCATAGAATTGTTGTGGAAAATTTCATAAAATTGCTATAGTAATATTTAGAGTTCAAGGTTTTTTGGTAATGGAAAACCTTGAAAAAAAAATCACGTTTTTCAATTAATGTAACGCTAACATAAACAGAAAGAAGAGAAAATGTTGCCAAGCTTAAAAATTAAATTTCAAAAATAATGTTGTTCCCTATCACTTAATAACAAGTAGAAAGGTTCAGAATTATCTTTTGAACATCACCATAGGTATTCGATTGAAAAATTACAATTTTTAAAGTTATTTAGAGTAATCTGTATACCTTTAAGTATCAACTTCTGAGTTCTTACGCAGGAACTTACGGTTCCCGGCGTAGGACAAGAGCAGCTATAATACTGCTTCGATCATCCAAAGAGAAAAAAATAAAAGTATTTTGGGAAATAAAAGTACTTTTGGAAAGTATTCTTAGTATGTAAGCTTTATAATAAAATAATTAAAATCTTTTCAAAAATTTCACCAAAACTAACGATTAGAACGTAGTCAGATACCCTAAAGTATTTGAATTGTAAGTGGTATGAGTTAATATACATCTTCCCCAAAATCAAAGTATCAACACTTGAGAATATTCATCACTCAGAGGCCTTATTTAGTGCTCTTAATGATCCCCAAACTTTAATTATTTTAATTCTTTTATTTCGAAACTCTTAGAAAAACTTTCTGCAATTTTTCTTGCAAGAAAGTTGATCATTTTCTTTAACGGATATCTGACTATTAATGATTGCCATTAATAAGCGTCAATCATCAAACAACTTAAAATTCTAATTATAGAAAGATTAAAACTGTTATTTGTTGCTATTATCGTTGTTGTTAATTGTCATTAGTCTAAATAATCAGATTATTCCATAAGTAACGTCATTTATCACAAAATACTTGTTGAAACACGTTCTAAAACGTTTAAAGAAATAATTTTCACGCATACATGAGCAAAAACAGCTTCATTCAGATTAGTTATGGGCACTAACTACTGTGATAGCCTTCATCATGAAAAGGGCAGTTACGGAAGAGCACACTATGCTTTACGAGTATAAAAAAGACAGAAGAGCAATAAATGCTGTTAAAATTATGCAAACGGTTTTGAATATTTGTAAGTGCCAATCATGATTCTGTATATATCGACAAAGCGACCTTAGTTTAAAAGATATGGGCGCCCTGTCTATTTTGATGATGGTATGTTTGATGGCTGTGATTGATTCTACTGAAGAGCTAGCATCAACAACCAATCGCAATTTGAAGGAACTTGGAATGGTGTCTGCCGAAGGCATCGCGGAAGAAAACTTCGCGAAGAAAACAAAGCAAGGCGAAAACGTCGTGGTACAAAACAACGCTGTACAAAACATCGTGGTACAAAATACCATGGTCGAAAATAAAGCGGTTCAAAAACTTCGCATTATAAAAACACCGTCGCCGAAAATATAGTGGTAAAAAACAAAGTACCTACAAATCACTTACAAATTTTAGCACTTACAAATGACGATAACATCGCACACAGGAGTTTTCACGTTTTTGAAAGTTGTAAATGCATGTTCCTATAATAATCTGGGAGTGCAAAAGAGAAAGAGAAATTCGTTTACTTCTATGTTTCATATTTTTGAACGAACTAATAAATTATTGTTGAAAAGATAAGAAGGAAACCAAAGCATTTAAAAATTGAAAATGTGTAGAAAATTAATGCAACTTATAGAAATTAATTTTAAATTTACATAGTGAATTAACAAAGGTCATTAATAAGTTAACCTTTTTTAAAGTTTTAAGGATAATTTTTAACGGAAAATGCAGGCTAAAAATGCTTGGAAAAAGGAAATTAAATAGCTGCATGATAAAAATTCCTAAGTTAATTATCAAATTATTTTCTTTCATGTTTGTTAATCATGTTTGTTTAAGTGAAAATCATATCTTGTTTTGTTTCCGTTTACTCTTAAAATGTCGTTAACATTTTCATATATAGCGTGTAATCAATTATTTGGATGACGATTTGTTAGTTATGACGAAATTCAGTTATATAATATGTCAGTATGGGATTTCAAAAATGCATGTGTGCGATGTTATCGTCATGCGATTTGTAGATACTTTGTTTTTCGCCACGATATTTTCGAGGACAATGTTTTTAAACTTCGAAGTTTTTGAACCGCTTTATTTTCGACCACAATATTTTGTAGTTTTAGAACTAGGATGTTTTCTCTTTGTGATGTTTTCTTCCACGATGTTTTGTCCCACTACGTTTTCGCCTTGCGTTGTTTTCTCTGCGATGTTTTCGGTTATAACCCTTGGAATTGTGTCTAGGCTTGATAAATGGGTTCTACATTTAATTTACCAGCGTTAACTGAACAGCGGGTTTCAACAGCTATTCTATTCTTCAGTCACCTCAAGGAACCCTCAACCAACTCGTATTTGAACCAACTCGTTATTGGTGATGATAAGTGATTGGTGGTTTGAAGCTTGCAAAATTTCATTGATAGAAAAGAATACAATTCCCATAAGGCACTTCAAATGGGTTTTCAAAAGTTTTCTCCAGTAAGCTGGCTGATTTATTTAGGAATGGCATAAAACACTTATCATAGCTTTGAAAGTATGTAATTGGTTCAGATGGGGAGCATAAAAAGAACTTCTCTTGATACGCAATTTTCATATTTCTTGCTTAAAAACATTTTCGTGTTACTCCGCTTTCGACATTAAATCAATAAAAGGGAACGATTCAACCTGCTATTAGCTAATCTAGTAATAATATTTTTAACAAAAGAGACCTATTTAATAATTTTAAATCTAAATTTTTGAAAAGTGAAAATAGGAGAAAAGACTTCGTAGCACTCACTTGGCCTTCGGAAAGTGAAGAATGTTCTGAGACAGACGACACCTGAAAAAATTAATTTTTCTTTTATTAGAAATAGGAAAATTAATTTCTAATAAAATACTATTATTAATAATGAACAATGAACTTCCATACAGTGGCCTAAATAGGAATCCTGGGCCTCTTTTGCGAAAATATTTTAGTGCTTTCAAAAAATAAAAACTCTTTCCAGCAGTGAATTGTTAGGCAATACAAACACATGTTAAAAGCATCAAAGATGGAAAGGACCAAAAGAATGTTTTGCTGACGCTAGTCAAAACAAATTGGTGAGATGGTAAGAGGTTTATTTTTATATATTTATTTATTTAATTTTTCTCTTGATTGTCTGCACTGTTTTATGTCACTTTTGCTGGAAAATGAACTGGTAAACAAATGAAAAAAAAACCATACTAAAAGTATATCCTGATAGACTCACTTGGAAATCGCAAATATTCAGTATTTTTAAAAAATAGCTGATGTGGGCACCACATAACTTCCTTATATGTCTATTAAATTTTACACATTTGTTTCCTCACTTCATTTATCATTCACTTCATTACTTTTGAATTCACTTCATTTAATTTATTTTAGAGTTATTTTAACTTATTTAACCGACTCCTTATGAAAAGTTGAAAAGTGGCATAAAATATTGCAAATTTCGAAATTAAATGTCCCGGTCAATTTTTGCCGTACCTGAACCAAACTTCTTATACTTCTGTTTTTTCATAACGAGTATAAAACTTTCCCAAATACAATTATAGGAACCGAAACACTGTATTAAAAATATATTTCGTTATTTTTCCAAAGTAAATCTTTTTTAATTTGAAACTGCGAAAACATGAATATTTTTGTCATTTAAAACACTACTGTAAGTGGACGTATATGTTTACTACCAGCGATTTCGACAATGAAGCCGGGGTAAGGACGTTTAAGCCTGATAAGGAAAGTGGATGTATATATATCTAAAATCTGTTTTAAAAAAATAATTGGCGACTTCAATATTAACATTCTGGATTAGGTGCTCTCCCCCTAAATTCCTCTGTTCTCCCGGATTCGAGATCTTTCTGTGTTACGTAACGTTTTAATGCAGATACCTCTTGTCCAATCAAATTAATTGTAAACCAAAACTTTCTATACCTCAAACTGAAACTATTGACTCCCTCCCTTCTTCCTCTGTGCTGGAGCGCTCTCTTTCACTGACGCTTCTCCTACTGCTTATTTGCCCAAGATGAATGACGTCGTACTTTACAA